TCAGATTGAAAATTAACCTGCATAAAAAATTATATTTTTTTCAAACCCAACCTGATCCGAATATGTAGTAGGCTAGATTGACCTCGAGTTCTATGTCATTTTGACAACACAAGATTTACCTTTATTTTTAGTTAGAAAAAACGTAATTATTTACGGACGAAACCTACATCCACTTGAGGATTTTTAATTTTGTTCTCAAATAAAAATTATTACTAAATAATTATGTTAGAAACGATGTATTATACTTTTGTTGATTGATTAAGATATCGTGTGGAAAAACTTAATAACATTTTTGCATTAAATTATTGAAAAATAAGTGTAAGGAATCATTTTATTATAGGAAGGAAATTGAAAAAAAAAAAGTGTAATTTATGGAGACGTTTTTTAGATGAATATGTATGAATGATAACATAAATAGTTCATAAGTGATTCATACATAAATCATGTATATAAAATAATTTCAAGAGAAATCACATATCTAAAATAATTTCGAAAAAAATTAATTACGCTCAAAATTCGCGGTTAAGAAGTATGATATCCGTTTTTTTACTGTTGTATTTTGAAAAACATGAATTATTCTATGTTCCGATTTTTTAAAAACTTGTCTATTTCAATAAATTTACATTTAAATTGGAGTATCATGATAAAATATTGTAGAGCTGTTATAAAAGATTACAAATTTATTAATTTTGTGCAACCTTCTAACAGAAAGAAAAATGTCTTACTATAATATTATTTATATATTTTTGTGATATTAATTTCATGTTTGTAATTAGATTGAAAATGCTGAAGAAGCTTTAAAATTCCCTCGACTTGAGCATAATCAGACCATGAAAGAAGGAGGAAATTTTAAATCATAAAACTTATAAACTTTGTATAAAGTAAAATAACTCCTTCTAATTTCATGTAATACAAAAAGTTTTAAATTCATGAATCTGATAAAAAAAATAGGTTTATTATTAGTAATTTCAAATTCAACTAATTTTTTACAAAAATATTTATATAAAATTTTTCACTAAACTCATATTTCGATTTAAATGTTTCTCATCACTTAACAATTTTATAATGATAAAGTATTTTATAAATATTATTACACAAAACCCTTAAAATATATCTATGACATCGAATGTCTTTATTATAAACATCATAAGAGATTAACTAGTAGTGCTATATATATAGAAAAAAGTATAATCATATTTTAATAAGCAAGAATTTTATTTGTTGTTACTAATAGAAAAAAAAATTCATCCATATAATTTCCTGATATCCTTAAAATGACTTAATCATATTCATGAGAATATATTATATAACATATCTGACTTTTGTAATAAAATGAATAATGATAAGTAAAATAAAAATAGTTTTTCTCTTTAAAAATGTTAGGAAAATAATTAAAATATATAATAATAATAATTATATAAAAATAAAACATATAATACATAGATAGATAATAGAAGATTATTCCGGTCAAATAATATTAAAAAAATGATATAATTATAATTAAATAAAGGAATAAAAATAATCTTAATTGGGCATGCAAAGTGCTGTTTCAGAGAAAAAACATTTCATCATACATAACAAAAAAATTATATGCACTTCTTTTCTAAAAAACAATAATAATTCATCATATTGATCGAGTGTAAAATCTTATGAATATCAATATTTTGAAAAATGATATAATAGAATAGAATACTTAAATCACTTAGTAAAAGTTAATGTATTTGTTCTGTATTTTCCTTATATAAATATCTGATATTTATAAATAAATAAAAACTTAGAAACGAACTATAATAAAAATGATTTTAAAATAAAATAAATTTTAATCAACAAAATAAATATTAAATTTGTCTATCAATAAATAACATTTATCTCTAAAATTAATATTGCATAAAAATATTAATAACAATAAATTTTTATTTTAATTAATTGTTTTTAAATTATATTAAATATTTTCAAATAGTTCAGACTTCCACCTCATATCAACCGTTTAGGTAACACATAAATAGATGTAAATGTAATGAAATCGAACAGGTTGATCACGTAAGGCATAAGTGGTAACAGAAATATGATGTGGCTTACATTATTATGTTTGTTTCCAAACCGAAAGAAAAAGATAAGGAAGAAGTCAAACAGTAACGTGAGTCAGATGAAATAATTAATTCAGTAGAAGTCAACTATAACATCTAAGTATAGATATCATCCTTCTATTGCATTTCAATTTTTCTCTCTGAGTCATATTAATATGATGACAAGAAAGTTTCAGCATCTAAAAAGCACCACTTCAATCAAAATGGCCGTTAATGGTCTAAATTACAGGACCCTCCAACTTCTTTCCGGAGTCATGATTTTACACTTTCAATCAATCAATGTACATGAAGAGAGATATGACATAAATGATAAAAGCAAACTTAATTAAATTTTAATCAATTCATAAATTTAAATATTTGATTAACTTAATTAAGTATTAAATAATTTATAAAGGGTTTTGCTAACGCGGCCTGTTTTTCAGGTGGTACATTTTAGCAATGTGTACTGGGTTTTAGTAGACAAAAATATCCTTATATATCATGGATATATAAGTTTTGGTTAAGGGTATTTTAATAATTTTCATTTTCAAAAAAAAAAAAGAAAGAAACCCCCAAACCCTTACTCACCTCTCTGATTCCTCTCAACCCTTTCTCTTTCCTCTTTCTTACTCCAATCTTTTCTCTGTCATCCCTAGTCCCAATTGAAAAAATCAGAAACACCTGCCGTTAAATTTACAAAAAAATGATTTTATAATGAGTTTTCATCTTATAATTTTTGTCTTATCTAATTTTATTCAATTTTCACAAGCAGAATTGGTAATTGACTGGAAAAAATCAGAAATACTCGCTGTTAAACAATTTTTTACAAAAAAAATGATTTTATAATGAGTTTTTATTTTATAATTTTTGCTTTCACAAGCATAATGACATCAAAGTAATTGGTAATTGGCCTGGAAAAAAAATCAGAATCACTCAGTTGTTAAACAATTTCTTACAAAAAATGACTTTATAATGAGTTTTCATTTTATAATTTTTGTCGTATATAATTTTATGTAATTTTCACAAGCATAATGACATCCGAAAGAATTGGTAACTGGCCTGAAGGGTTTTTTTAGAGATGATGATTCAACATATGCAGAAATTAGAGAGGTTAGTGAAGATGGTGAAATTAAAGAGATATTGAATAAACCTGAAGGTGAATATGTCAATGACTCAACTCTTTCCAAAGACAAATTTTTTAAAGGCAAGTGTTTCTGATTTTTTTCAATTGGGACTACAGTAGAATGACAGAGAAACGATTGGAGTGGGAGAGATGAAAGAGAAAGGATTGAGAGGAATGAGAGAAATTAATTGGAATTAATTAAAAAATGAGAAAAATTAATAAATTATTTATAAAAAAACACAAAACTAATTATCTTATCAACCAGTTTACAATAAAAATAAAAAATTAAGTGAATATAATAACAATAATTAATTAAGATCATTCAAATTTGTGAAGTAATTAAAATTTCATTAAAAAATTATAGACAATAAAAAAAAGTGTTAGAAGGTTATAAAAGACTGAGGTCTGAAAATTTAATTTTAATGTTTAATAGTGTGTTTAAAAATTAGGTAAAAGGGAAACTAGGACCAACTAAAATTGCATAAACAAGAGAGTGCAAATGGTTCCCTTCAAATTGAAGAATTTCCTTGCCAACACTAATAACAATGTAAATGTTTGTTATATTGTGATTCAGTAACACATTGTCATGCATATAATAAATATGTTGACGATTATAATTTTACCATAAAATTTATTGTTAGTGAGTAAAAAACTTTTTATGTTCATAGTATTATAAAAAAAGAAAATATTTTAATTATTCGAATCAATTTTGTGTTGTTTTGTCGCATATTTATGACTAATTATTATAAATAAAATATTCATAAAAAAATTTAAATATTTCTTTATATAATTGAATTTTATACATAAATCAATTTTAAAAATATTCAATTAAAAAAGAGAGTTTGAGTTGGATACATACAAACAGAAAATATGTAATTAAAAAATGGTTGACTTGTACCTATTTATTCCAAATATTTGACCCACATGTTTTTTAGTTTGGATGAAGTTAAATTGTTATTGTAATCAATATATGATAATGATATTTATATATTATTTTCATTACATTTTTATATAATTTTTTATTATAAAATAAAGGAGAAAAATATATATTGTAACACATTCTCTATTCTCTGTACGTTTACTTTGACACAAAAAAAATTGTAGAAATAATTATCTGCAAATGTCAAAGTTCACTACTTCTATTATACTTTTTATTGTTATTTATGTAATAAAAAAACACAGTTTTAAAATATTGTACTATTTTTTCTCAAATAATCAAATATTAAAGAATTAGTACTATGGAAGAAACATTGGAAAAAAAAAATTAAAGTAAAATGAGTTACGTTAATAAAAATCTGTTATATATTTGTAACAATTTTTTTCTGTTTCTTTGTTCTAGTTTTCTCTCCAATCAAACTAAGTGTCAAGTGTGATTATGTAAATATTACATTTTAGAATCCTGTCTAGCTTTGTGGAAACTTACAATTTTCTTTCCCATATAAAAGTAATGTTATTGGTTTTGATGCAACGAATAATAACGAGTGAGGGTCATTGAATTAAGAATAAGGTCTACACAATTTAACGATATTCAATAAATTTTAGTTACTAATAAAAAAATATATTAAAAATAAAATATTAGAAACTGTGTGCTAGCATTTCACTTAATTTAATCCATTGGAATTAATTTATCCGTAATTCGATCTGACCCATACTGTCGTTATAGGAGACAAATTCATTTTTTTTTCTAATTAAAGGTCGCATTTCCCTTAAGAAAAGTTGCTTCAATTACGAAATCACATGCACATTACATGAAGAACTCTTCTTCTATAACGTGAAATGAAAAGTTGAAAAATGGAAACTGACGAAATTACCCGAAGAATTTAGTTTATTGATTTGGTTTGAAGTATTTTATCTTCCATGTTCCTTGGTTTGTTCCGATTCGTGGAACAAATGCGGAGGTGTCAGGTGATGAAGTTTGAGTGAGTTGATTTGCGTTGAAGCCAGTTGGTAAATGCCTCAAGGGTTTTCATGTCAGCTCTGTAATGCTTTTGAGTGAACTCAAGGAGCATGGGCCATGTAAAATCTGGGTACAGCCTTGGGCTCATTTTGTCCACTAATTCACATGGTGGACTCACCACCTTGTCACTTCTCGGACACAGAAAGAAAGCAAGTGATTTTCTTGTTGTCTCCCTGTTCACCACTGCCCTGTGCAAGCAGCTCTTGTATCTCCCATTCGAAAGAGCCTATCATCATCATCATCATCATCAATACACAACCCAAAAATTCAACACTGTTTTCTTTGCTTTGCTAAGCCAAATGCATGAAACTCAAGAGTAATTAAGATAGTCACGTTACCATGAAGGTATCGCCAACATTGACGACAAAAGCATTGAAAGCAGGTTTAATGGAATGCCACTCATTGTCAACACAAACTTGCAGGCCTCCCACTTGGTCTTGGTGAAGAATGGTCAAAGAGGTTGGATCGCAATGAGGTCCAGTACCTAAAGTGAGGTCTGGTTTTTGACACGGAGGGTAGTAATTCAGCCTCATTATCGAGTTATTCTCTTCAAAGAACTCCCTGAAATAAGCTCTACCGACTCCAAGGCTCATTCCCAGAAGCTCCATTATACCTAAAGAAAGATTGCTCATGGCTTCACAGTAGTCCTGGTAAACATTCCTGCATAAATATGCAGAAAACACGAGTCCAAACATACCCACCGGGTTGATTTGTTGGTGGGGGTTTGAGTACTTTGCATAAGATCTCAAATTTAAATCTCGTAGTTGTAAGAAGTGTAAGAAAAAACGAAAGATGATGGGTATTTTATGAAGAAAAGTGAGAAAAGAAAAAGGTGGCACATATTTTGATTACCCGAATTGCTGAAACTCTGTGCCCATTTTATCGCATAAGTAGTCCTTGACAAGGGTTGGTGAGTTATTGCATGCGGAGTACTGGAAGGAAAGGGTCTCTTTCCAAGGGAGCTTAGAGGAGAACCTGGCGGTGAAGCTACTGGCGTAGCCGCAGTGCTCCCCTGGCATCCTCTGAGCCCTCTGTTTGTGAGACAGGGGAAGGGAAAAGAAGTTATCCATGTAAAGGTGAGCATCGGATATCAACTGCCGGTCAATCCCATGGTTGACAACCAGAAAGAAGCCATGCTTTTGACATGCTTCACCGACGAGTCTGGAGGCTTCCGTGGCAGCAAGAGGGTCACCGGAGAGAAAGCCTCCCAAGTCAATGAATGGAATCTGTAACTCGGGCTCATCCAAGCATGCTTTCTCCTCGTCAGGCCAAATGAACTGAGAGGGTATGTGAAGTTGGTGTCTGAGGACTGAGGCATCAAAGACAAGAGGATGTTGATCTTGTTCTTTGATTTCTTGGTTGGACGGTTGAGGCATGATGGGGTGCATGGTCGTTATGCAGTCTATTGCCATTGCAATATTAATTATTAATAATGAGTAATACAAGGTTGTTCTTGGTTTGGTTTGTGTGGTGAGGAGAGGAAGGAGAAGAGGGAGAGAAATAAGTTGGTAGAAGCGATGAAAGAAAAGCCAAGGCCGCTTGTTGGAGAAATGGTGGAACAAATATTGGAATCTTATATAAGCTCCCAGTCTCCGACACACGCACACTCTCTCTCCACTCCACTTTGATCCATTCACCAACACCACCCCCATCACTTTCACAATTTTCCTACTCACTCACTCTTCAATTTCTATTTCTTCCACATTCTTCTCATAACTCACTTTCTAAAAATCATTTCTTTTATTATATCTTACTATACTTTTTTTTTTTTACATTATTACTTCACATATTCATACACCCGCTCATACTTGATCTTTTAAAACCTCTGTCAATTTACTTTCACAAGATAATTTTATTTTCTAATTTTACAAATTGCAATTAATTTCCTATTCATTATTTTTTTTAATTTTAATTTAGTTTTCTTAGGAAAATAAGTTAACGCAACGTCTTTCGTCACATTGACAGTGACATGTTAATACAGTGATACATGTTCGTTAAAAGAGTTATTACGCCAAAATATTTCTATCAAACACATATCTGTAATGCGTTAAAAATATTGAAAACTGTAAAGATATGAGAGGTTAATTAAATGAGGCTAGAATAGTGAATTTCTGTATTTTCCGAAAAGTCTCAACGAAATAAGGAATGTGTCTAAAATATTTTGTTAGAATGTGTTAAAGCATTTTTTTTTAAAAAGAAAAATAAACTAAAATGAGAAGTAAAAATTGGTAGGGCATTATGTCATTTTGACACCCTGAACTAGGTTTTGGGGAGGTCCTGCAGTAGCGCTTCTTAGGGGATCGAATTGTAGGAAGTTGATGGAAATTGTTAAAGGCAAAAGCAGAATTGAAACTAGTCCAAGTGAGTATTCCACTACGGCATGTCGTTGGCGACAAATCTTGAAAATTTGATGAATTCAAGATCATCTTTTAATTGATTCATGGAAACGATGAAAAAGGTGAAGAAAAATTAAAGGAAAGGAGGAAAAAGTGTATGAATAAAGAGACACAGAAGTACATAATAAACTAGTGTGACCAGTCCTCTAAAAAAGCATCTCTATGATAACTGATAAGTAACTAAACGATGGAAAGAGCAAGCATCCAATACAGACAGGTTTTTCTGTTCATAATACAATTGCTATACATATGGAGAGATTACAGAGGAACCACTGGTTATTTATCACCAAATCACTTTATTATTTAATAATATAAACAATATTTATCAATTTTCACTCAGTATAAAATTCAAAATTAATGTTTAACTAATAGATGATACTTAATAATACACAAAAGCAACTGCATAAAAACCCATGAATGCTTTTGTAAGCAATATCATCACTATAATTTGAGTGGGATATAGTCCTAATAAGTGCAAAAGGTTCTTTTAAATACTGTGTTAATAGGGAAGATAAAGAAGGTGGAGCATTAGTGATTTTTCCCTCTCTTAGTAATGTAAGGTCCAAATTTTGCCAAATTCAAGCTACTATCTCAATTCCTAGCAAAAACTACTTTTTTTTTTCTTTTAGGGAGAGTTCTTATTTATTTTTTTCTATTGGAGAAAGATGAGAAGAAAAAAAAAGATTGGAATCAGGGTTGACATCCGGGTGAGGTAAATGTGAATTTCACTGTTTTCATCTCATTTCAAAGTAAGAAATTATTTATTTTAAACAAAATTCATTCTCTTCTCAAAGTAAAAATTATTGTCAAGCTAAAAATTATCTCCGTTTTTTGTATTCAATAACAAGTATTAAATTTCTGTTTTATATTCATTCCTATCAGATAATTAATATACATGTATCCACCTTCTAAATGTTTCAAATATTCATTAAATAATATTTTTTGAAAATAAAATTTTAAACATGATATTATTAAAGATTCAATGTCTAGAATATACAATGTTTCTTTTTTTTTTAATGTTAAATGTGAAGAAATAAATTATAATTGTGTAAATATAAAATTAGTGTATCACAACAATTGGATAAAGATAAAATAATTATAAAAAAGAACAAAAATGGTTTGATGAAATTAAGAATTCTATTTTTTTGAAATGTAAAACAAAAATACAAAATAAAAAATATATAATTAAGATTACGATGATATGAGTGATACCTTCGAAATTTAAATACATTTAATAGATATTGAACAAGTCAAAAAAATTGATAGAAAATGAAAATATTTTTAACGAAATAAAGGTTCTACAAATAAAATGAAAGCTCGTATTAAAGAGAACAAATAAAATAATTTTTTTAATGTCATTGATAAATTAAGATTTTACGTACTTGAATACTTAAAATTAAAAGAATCATTCTCTTGTGAAAGAAATAAACAAAAAATAAAAATAAAAATACTGAAAAAAATTAAAAATAATCAAATAAGTATTTTAGAAACTATTTGATTGTTGAGGTTTTTTTTTTAAATACAATACATTATTTGAATGAAACTAGATAAAAACAAAATAATTAATCAATATTATGATAAGAAGAAAATTTGATAGAAGATATAAGTGAACTTTATAAATTTTGAACAAATCAAATAATTGAAAAAAAAGATTAATAATGTAGAAAAAAAATTAAGAATAATTACAAAACTAAGAATAAATAAAAAAAATAAATATAAGTATTTTAACTTATCAAATAAATCATAAATGTTTTAGTAATTTAAAAGAAAGACAAATAGAAGAAAATGACGAATATGGGAATGAGGACAAATATACATATTCTCATTACATTCATTCATTATATGCAATTTAAAAAATTAAGTATTATATAGCTATACTTATATCTTATTAATGTAAATATTTTTTTATCAAACTTAAGACAAATTTATATAACACTAGTGGAAATTAAGTTTGAATAAATATCCACGTATACGAGTTATTATGTCTAATTGGAATTACATTTTGAAATAATGATGACCAAAATATCAAAATTACTTTAATTTTATGCATACGAATGAATTTTTAATTCTTTTTGGTTAACAATTCATATACAGATATTTTAGTTTTTTTTTTTAAGACAGCCTAATTTTTTAATTTATTTTTTAAACTGTATTGAAACTTAATTATATTTATTATGGTGCATTGATTAACTCCAAAAATTAAGCATGTTTGTTTATGTTTAAAGAAAACTAAAATGCGGTAATTAGTAGAAAGATAGTTTTGAAATGAGTGGAAGAGATTTTACTATTTGAAATTAAAATTTGAATTATATGTATTTGTTTGGGGGTAAAGCTACAAAGAATTGTATGCAAGATTTTCGATTTAATGTGCATACGAACAAAAAGAAGCTACTTAGATGTTTGTGGAAAAAGAACATGAATACGATTATAAGTTTTGCACGTGGGTTAATGGAGAACATTGAATAGCACTTCCTTCCGTGCAAGCAGTACAAGAATATTTCCCAGTTTCATCAATATCGTTTTATATTTTTCTTTCATCATTAATGTTCTAGTTAAGCCTTGTATCAACATTAAGTTACAACATTCCCTCATCTTTCTCTTCATAGGATTTAAATACTACCATTTATATTTTTATAATATTATTTTTACATACACTTTACATTTCTTATTTTATCTTTTAATATCTTCTTTCTTTACAAATACAAAAATTAACATTTTAATAACCAAAATATACCTAAAAGTAAGTTGTCAACAACTGATGTAAAAAATATTCTTCTTATATTTTTACAATAACCACATGATCTCGCTTGTATTTTTCTAGTGATAATTAAGTTTATTATCTTTCTTTCCTAAAGTGATAAGGTAAAATGAGTCTCTTTAATAACTTAGGTTCACCTGTTATTTACATTTTTTTTATACCTTCATTGTAGAACAATTTTTTTAAATAAAAAAAAATTATGAGATTTGACTATAAAAAAGAGATATCTTTAAAATAATTTGATTTAATTAATAATTTATATATTTATGCTTACTCGCTTTAATTTTTATATTTTTTCTAACTCAATTAAATCAAATAAAGTTTTTTTTATTTCCATATTAGAAATTATATTTATCAAAATTTGATTAATTTTTTAGTTTGAAATTCTCTTATTTTATATTTTTTTGTTTTCTTTTTCTCTCTTTACTTTCCTTCCTCCCATCACAGGTTGAGATTATAGGTTATCATAGAGAGTAGTTAAGAAAATAAAATTGAAATTTTAAAGTTAGTCGTCTTGTTTTTATATGTTTTGATGATAATTTTTTTTGAAATTGTATAAATAAGGTTAATCTTTTGATATAATTAATGGTCTTTTATTATTTAAAAATTGTGCAAAATGAATATAGAAAGGGATTGCAAGTACAAAAAGTGGATGAGGATAGTGGGAGGTGAAGGAAAACGAGTGAGAAAAAAAAAACATCAAAAATAAGAAAAAGAAATTAAAAATGTTAAAAAGTAAAAAAAATAATCAAATTTTAAGATGTGAAACTTTTAATACATATCAAATTAACTCTATTTAATAAATATTAAGACTCAATCGGACAATAAAGTGAATCATAATCTTAAAGACTAAATTATTAATGAAATCAACGAAATTAATAAGGTTCGTGTCATAATTTTTAAACTAAAGACAACCATATAATTTTTATTTTACTATTCTAAATATTAATTAATTATTTTATAAAAATAAAAATCATAACAATTTTTTTTATTATCAATTAATATAAACTTTTTATATCACCTATCAAAATTTAAGGTGTTTCAATAATGTAAAAAGAAAATAGGTACAAGAGTGAGTGAGATATATTGAAACAAATATCAATATAACTATGACATATATATAAAATTCATTTTCATCTTCATATTTAATTTTAAAATATATCTATTACTTATATTTACATTCCGTTATTATATAAATTCTATTTCAAATCAAGACGAGTTGAAAAAATACCTACATAATATATTGTTTTGATATTTGATAACTAAAAAATAAAATAACACTAAATTCTCTAATATTACTAACACAAAAGAGTAAAGAGTCTATTATGCCAAGCGTTTATGTCTGAACAAATTAAGTTAGATGTTAAAAATGTACGGCAACAATTTTATAAATAATGTGTGAAATTTATGTTTG